ATAGTTCATAGAGAAGCACATTGAGGCCAACCATAACAGCAGGCTGGTTGAAAACATGCAATCAATCACATTCTAAAAAGACAAATACATATGAAATGCCATGATGCATGGCTTTTGTAGACTATGGACAGGAAATCTTGATTTGAAGCTTTCGTGACTGCAGTCACCCAAAATCTCACAAGGCACTAAAAGAAAAAATATGAAGATGTGTGTATAAAATGACAAACTATAGTTCACAAAAAGAATCAGGCAAGGTGATACTCTCGCATCGAGGCAATTCACACAAGAGGTTTCCATAAATAACTGAATTGGATAAATAATGGCACAAACACGAATGTGGAAAATATTCAGCATCTCAGATTCGCTGACGAAATTGTCATTCTAACAACAATTGTTAATGAACTACATTAAATGACTTAAGAATGTATCAAAGCAGAAAGAGAAAGGCTAAAATTAAATAAGATGAATGTACACCAGTTTCACCAGTTTCGCCAAACAAAAGGAAATTGTTGCAAGGGCAACTGGAAAACACAACAGAGTATATATATTTGGAGAAATTATTGAGGACTGGACCAGGATCAAAATAATCATTTTTAAACGAGGTAAATGAGAGCAGAATTTATTGATTTTGGAACTGAACTGAATAGAAGTAGCATTCCAATGGTGCTCACGAAGAAAGTTTTTAATCAGTGCATATTACATGCTAAGGCATGCATCAGAAACGTTGACTCTAACCAAGTACATGGGTCACAAACTGAAAAGTAAATAAAGCAAGAGGAAATGCGTGCTGAGAATAAAACTGAGACAGATAGAGGGAGGAACACATGGATCAGACAACAAAGACTAATTTACACACACAGTGTGAAATGTTAAGAAAAGTACGTGGGCTTGGGCAAGATATATCGTATGCTATAAAATAGACAAGACTGGCGATGAAATGGCAGCGAAACAAGGAGATGTGTCCAAGAGGACAACCACGCAGTGTCGTGGTCAGGTCATGCGCACGAGTGACATTGATTGCAGCATTGCAAGACCGTGGGCTATGGTGACGTGGGGGAGGATTGAAAATGGCTGTTGATGACTTATGTCCATCAACTTTGATAAGGCCCATACCGTATGTTGAATAGATCATTCTTGTTCAAGTAAAAAAAATTACATTCTTGATTTTGCAATGGTTTCCTACGTGTGTTTTTCCTGGGAAGTATGTTTTTTAATGTTTGAATACGTGCAGCTGGTTATGATATGAATCACAAACTAGAACACGAGTGAAGAAATGGGAACAAGACTGAAACGTGAGCACAGAAAGCACAGAAACATGTTGAGTTGCATGCTTGGAATATAATTGAGAAAGAGAAACATAGATTAGAAATGCAGTTTAAATACATCAAGTTGACTCTTAAGAAACGTAGGCTTTGGCAGGAGGGATGATGGCTGGTGATCGAGACTAACGATGGAAGGGAACGCAAGCAAGAGGGCAGCTTCCACGGAGATGGAGCAATGGAATCAACACGCGTGCAGGAGCTGGGTCGATTATTACATCGCACGACCAGGGGAGATGGTGATGGCTTGGGGAGGCCTTTATCCAGCAGTGGATTGATCATGACAGATAATATTCCCAGCCGGACAAGATCTTTTCACTCGTGTTTGATGTGACGTCGCGTGAAGCCATCTATATATATAAAATCGTGAATCTGTCTGTCTGTGTGTGTGTCTGTGTGTCGCCGGACCATACGCACTTTCATTGGACGGCGGTTGCCCCTGGCAACGGGTAGCGACGCCTTCGCCGCTTTCATTGGACGGCGGTTGCCCCTGGCAACGAGTAGCGACTCCTTCGCCGCGGCGTGGACGCCATTTTTTATTCCCGTTAAAAATAGGCGCACGCATTAACACGCGACTCTTACTTAAATTAATCACAGTTTCACGTCCTCTTCACTCCCCTCCCACCCCAATGTGTTCTATTACTATTATAGGCTCCGTAGATAATAAAATAATAGCGATTAGACAGTATTATTGTAGCGCGGGGGGAGGGGGGAACGCCACCCGTACCCTGCCTCTGCCGGGTGGCCAATTTAGGCGAGGCCGGAGGCTCTGCACGCTACTAGGCCTCGACACCCACCACGCGACTCTTGAGGTAAATTCATCAAAGTTTCACGTACTCTTCACTCCCCCCCCTCCACAATGTGTGCAATTAATATTACTTTTAAACCCAACGCGCCAAGAATCTATTCTTTTAATGGTCACTGTACAAATAGTCATTAAGCTGGGTGAGAGTACTGCCAGTCTATAATGTAGACTGTAGCCTGCTTATTAAATTGCCTGAGTGTACTGGCAGTCTATAATGTAGACTGTAGCCTGCTTATTAAGCTCCGTGAGCGTACTGCCACTCTATCATGTAGACTCTAGCCTGCTTATGAAGCTGAGTGGGTGTACTGGCTGTCTATAATGTAGACTGTAGCCTGGTTATTATAATCGATTCTTTAAATGTTCTTTGTACAAATAGTCATTAAGCTGCTTGAGCGTACTGGTCGTCTATAATGTAGACTGTAGCCTGCTTATTCAGCTGGGTGGGTGTACTGCCAGTCTATCATGTACACTGTAGCCTGGTTATGAAGTAAAGTTAGTCAATTTGTAACACGTACGCTTTCGCAAACATTATTCATAAACAACGTTCGGACCTGGGCCTCCCCTAGGTCGACTCAGCCTCAAACGAGTAACTGGTGTCGTGTGTGAACATCGTCACTGGGGAGACAAAGGCGGCCGGGCGTGGTGAATCCAAGTACCCGGGCGAAGCCGGGTAGTAAAGCTAGTAACATATATTGACGTTATCGGTAGGTGCGCATGGTACGTGACATCATCGGGCAGCATGAGTTGATGCCACAGGGTGCATGACAGACCTTTGCAAAATGTCAACACGCGATGACATCATCGCAGGTAAGCAAATGGTGTGTAACATCATCGCGTTGGCTGAGATTGCGTATTATCCATTGTTAACGTGGTTTTATCACCAAGTTTTGGATAACTAACCTTGGATATATTTGCCAAGTTTTTTTGGGGTAAATACCTACATAGAGAGATATAGTTTATACATGTATGCTTGAAACCTTAATTCGAAAGTGTTAATCATGTCATTTGTATATATATGGAAATGTTAGTTGACAGTTCTCACAGGTTTATCAAGATGTATTGTGGCTTGTACCATTTAAAGTTGTATATCTGTACACATGCCTATCTTCTGATTCCACTCATATATATCCACGTTTTAGCCGAGGCATGCTCACGGGATCAGTCATGCCAAAAGCACTTGTCTACAGCACATGTCCTAGAATGGGTGTTCTGGGATACTTCAGATACCATTACATACTTGTTATTTGCACGTCATGGTGTGCCACCTTCACTAACCTTCCACCACATCTTGATATGCACACCGCATAAGTAGATGTTATCATCATAGGTATGTCCATTTAATCTCCAACCTCTTTCCCCAGACACAAGAGGTTCTACAAGTATATTGAACAGTCGAGTTGGAATATTCTATTATCCATGTACAGTAAGTTATTACACTATCGCTTATCAGTTTAATTTCTCGACTGATGAGAAAACACCAAAATGCTGTCGTTCAGAAAAATAGATATTTCACCTCTAAAAGGGCCCCCCACAGCCTCTCGAGCCTGCCCTGGTACCTTACTGGTGGATGTGCCCCTGCACACCAGAGATGCCCTGCGACTCGATGGTGAAGAATCCCCTAAGGATGCCCTGTGACTCGTTGGTACTGCCCTAGCTATACCTGGTGGCCCCATTGTTGTTGGTGCCGGGCCCCCCAGTCGCTTCATCCACGGCTGTGCCGCAGCATCGCTCTCTCTTCTCTCTCCCAATTTCCCCTAACCTTGATTGACCTCCACCCGGTGACTTCTACCCTCGTGTATTTTATTTTCATTTTTGTAAAGCATCGTGGGATACAATTGCATTTAGACAATATACACATTGCAATCATTGTTGCAGTTTCCACGTAATGCCAGATGGTAGGAAATGTGCAGGGCTTGATTACAGCATTGGCTTTATCAGTTAAGTCATGCTTGTAGGGGTTGTTTAGGTAAATGACAATTTGAAGGGGCCTCAGCAATTAACCACACAAAAGTAGTCAATTATGTTTTTCAGTCGATTAATCAACTTAAGTGACAATTTCCCCAGCTCTTTTAATATTGCTGGGCAGTAATGTATTGAAATAATGTTTGAAAATAACGTGTTGCTATAATACGATTGTCAAATAGAGTTAATTGAAGCATTATTTTGTTGTCAGCACTACTTCATATCAGCTTGGGTTAATATGAGGACAGCAGCAAGCCTACAATCAAAATTAAATCATTCTAAATAATGTTGAATATAGTAATCGTAAAAACAAATCATAGCAGTCTAACCTTACAACATTACTCCTCTCAGAGAGTTTACGTAAATCGGTAGAAGCACACAAACCACTGAAATGGTGAAATCAATTTGAGTGAGAATTATTATTCCCGTTCTTTTGTTAGCTTAAGGAGGTAGGTTAACATTATGGGGATTTGCAATAAGTATGCGTTTCAATGCCACAGCATCTCAAAGTATTTATTGTTACTTCCCATATAATTGGATCTGGTGTGGCACCAACATGTTCATATATAATTACTGTGATCTCATTGGCTATTGAAGTTGGAAATTTCACGTGAATATTTATTCGATTATTTAATAAATAAAAGTTATAGTGTAAGTTAATTTTAACTACTGTATTTGAGTTACATTACATATAATATTACCAAAAACAAAACGTTATGCTAAAATAGCTACGGCACATATTACTGTAAAAACACCAAAACCAAGTAATTCTTCACATTTGCTTGTCATGAAATGCAATAAAAAAATAACATAAAATAAACAGGAGATTATTTGTTGCTATGTACCTTGAACATAAACATTTAAGCAGCATGGATTGGTTACCGCACAGGGCATAGCACCAGGGAAGACCTCACCCCGAAGTTGGATGCGGCAAAGCGGTCCGAGGCAGACACATTGGAGGTGGAAGTATTGGTGTGAGCGTAGTAGGCGTTGATATTTGCAAGCAGATTGCTCATAACGGCTGGCACTCCAGAACACATGTACTTGGAAGAAAGGCAAGAAAAGTGGCTGCAAAGGATAGCAAAACAACAGTCAGATTCTAGATAAATATTAAAACAAATACATTTATTTTTTCCAGGTAAGGCGCCCTGAGCTATACTGTATAGCCCAGTGGGTTGTTTGATGTTGAGTGTGAGATCGAAGGGTTTTTTCACTGTCTTGATTCAGCTATTTGGTCTTTCCAATAACCTGGTATTTAGGCTCAGCACTGTTGAAATGCTACTGTGCGTGTACATAGACTAAACGTAGCAATCACATTTACGCTGTTTCAAATTGCTACACTGGTCACTTGCATAATACAAAATTAATTTGAAGGGCTTTCTGCTATTTTTAAGGCTTAAAATGACTTGAAACGTTCTGAAATTTCATAAGCATTTGCTCCTCACATCTATTTCTGTAACCTTTGGTTCACACTCAACAAGTTTATATTTTGTCCCTCTGGGTTACCTGAACCCGAACTGACAATCAGCTTGCCATATAAAGGTCTATGGTAGGGAAACCATTCTGAAACCCAGCTTGTGCATGTGGTTGGTTGGCCTCTAAACTTTCTTTTTTTATGTTTCTGAAATGTATATACATGCAATACAAAGCGAATGATTATTTAATCATTCAAGTGGGGTTCACATCCTTTTTTAAAATAAGAGTGAATGTATTATTGCATGATTGAACTATATTCTGGAAAAACCGAGTATATTTAAAATAGCATTATTCGCAGACTATGAAAAGACATTTGAATATGTGGCAACATGAAAGATCCGAGAGAAATAAGAATTAAAGTGGTATGCTGTCTGGAAGAGTGATTCTCTGCCGTGTGCTGTGAAGGACGGTCATTTCCCAAAACGTTTCCCATTATATATTTGGTTTCTCTCAAGGCAGTGTTATTTATGGAGCTTTTTTTGTTTGCAGGAAAATTAGCGGGTGATGCCTGACAACAACCCACAGAGGGTGTATCCTGTGATTTGACATTTTCAATTATAAAGGTGACATTGACGCACCACTCACGTGTTCCCTGGAACCTGTTTGGCAGCTCTTTGTCTTACAAAAATATACATTGCAAGACATGACACACACATTCAAACACACGTGAATGTGTCTCGTGTGGAAATGTCCCATTGGTCCATGCACAAAGTTGGGACTGATGAGATGTCCGAAAGTTATGCGTAAGTTTGAAATTCACATTATCCAATTCATAGAAATGTATGCTTTACATTGATTACCCATTTAATCAGGTTTATTTCAAAATAATTATGACTCTGCATTAATAACCATTTAATTCATTGTAAGGCTTTCACTTAATACTGAAAACCCTTCATTTTGAATTTTGTAATTGTTATGCTTAAATCCGACGCCCAACTCGTGCTCACGTCATAGCTTGATAGATGGATTCAATGCCATAGCGCATGGCAAACTCATCCACGATCTCCTGGGCCGTCTCCTCGAAGTAAACCTTCCATGCTTCATCTCCTTTAGCTTCGGGGATACGCACAGCCCCTCCGTTTTGCACATCCGTGAGAAAATGGAAGATATTCTATGGGTCACAAACAAGGATGTCAACACTGATAAAGTCACAAATAAGCAAAATCAATTATATACTGTACTCACATTGTATTTTTAAATCCTTTATATTAAGTTCGCTTGCTTGCTTGCTTGCGTGCTTGCTTGCTTACGACCGTGTAAATCTTTCGGTCGTTTTTTAACCCACTTCCCATGATCCAATCGAGTTGACATTTTCCACACAGACTCGTTGTGCATGACAATTAATGTTCGTGAAAATATTTTACACTTTATAGGACAAAAATATTATATTTAATTACCAATTGTTTAATACTGCAGACAATCATCTGACCCATAGGTGGCAGCCATTTCAAGCCAGAGGACGAGAGGACTCTAGCCGCCATGCATATAAAGGATTTAGAGTGAAAAACTTTGTTTTGACGGGTTATACTTATTAACATACATGTTTAATTGCAATTACTAAATGTTTTCCCTGTAAATGTAATAACGTACTACTATAAACACTAGGCATGTAACTATGCATTGATCGTTGTTTAAAATCTCATTATACTATATATGCATTTCATTGTAGATTTAAGAATATAGATATTAAAAAATTCCTATATGTTGTACGTAAATCGTTCACGCAAATATAAGTATGCTTGAATTGCTACCTTCACTAAAATGGCAAAAATAATGATACAATCTTAAGTCGAGTCATGACCCAGAATCACAACGAGTCACCAAATCACAAGACGGACAAATCTTTACATGCCTGAAACGGCTGACCCCAATCCCTAGCGCTATTTCACCCCCCCCCCTACTGCTAATCTTAAGCCCCAGCGTAATCCATAACTCATAGTCCTAAATGCATGCACCAGTCCTATCCATAACCATAATCCCACCAGGTGACTCAAGGGACGAGCATAGTGGCCTATTACTCAGGATGAATGTAAGAGGTTTATAGCAACATGTGTACGTGGTAAAACAATGTATGAGGCGTGCTTACCTCGTGAAGACCGGTATACTGTACGTGGTATGGCGCCACCTTTTCCTCACCCTTAATCTCAACACTGATCTGCAGGCGGATAGCCCCGGACACCACAGACTTGTCGGTGCGCTTCTCTGTTGGTGCATCAGAAATTGCATCCATATGAATGCTTGTGCAGCACATAGACAAATACCAACAAGATTGTAAAAGTAATTAATCCAACAAACGTGAAGCATTAATCCACGTGGAATTCTCAGTAATACACATTTTAGTACACATATAGTGAACCTAAATACATAACTGTGTATGTGTTTCACCTTTAAAATAAAAGAAAGTATAAACATTTCACAATATAACATTGTTATAATAGTTCTAAATACTAAAGCATGGATAACATTTCTAAATTTAAAGCAAAGCAATTCATAATCACATCTTAAATGTTTATCAACTGAAAAAGGAACTTAACATTCTAAAGGTTTGGTGCATTAGACATTTCTATTGAAATATTACTACTAATTCCAATATTAGAGTTGAGTTTTTGAATAGATTAAGGACATTTTTCTTTTAGGTTTTACTTAACAGTCAATTACGTGGAGCAGTTACAGCTTTGCATTTGGCTTTACGATTTTTTTATATTACAATTTTGATTTAATATTTTAGAAATAGAATCACAGGGGAAGCAAGGCAGCGATGAAAGTTGGCGCAGGAAAATTCCCCCACTAATACGGCATTTAATGTGATATTTACGCTGAAATATAAGAATGCAAATATGTCTGGCTTATTCAGTATGGTGTTTCCATACAAGATTATAAATCCTAAATATGCATCAGTTTGGCCTTGGGAGTTTTTTTATTGGATACTAGTAAGCAACTGCTTTAGCTCAATGACATTTATTAATTTAAAAGAAAGCAAGTGATTCCTACACTTTATTTTAGCTCTTCGAGTCTCATGAATGTAATGTAATCCTACGCCACTTATGTGGCATCATAAAAACCATCATTCTCAGCAGCCAGCCATGACCTATTCACTCCTCGATTAAGGCCTCCCCATGTTATCCTCATCGCTTGTGGTCCTGCAATGCCAGTTAATCTCACTCATACATACAAGCTGAACTCATAACTCCATCTCCTTAGTAGTCCTCATCTTGGTCGTGATCACTCCTCGGTTGCCATTACACGACCAGCCTCACCTATTGGCCTTTATCCCTTCTCATGATGTGTTCTGCCCAAGCCCACTTTATTCACAGTTATCAAGATATCTCAAACTTGGACATGATCTTTGAGCGGGTGACATCACTCCACATGTCGCACCCCTCCCCAATAACCATTAGCGGGTGACGTCACTCCACATGGAGCAACCCCCCCCCCTCATTAATAATCATGAGCTGAACAATTTTTCTATTGAATATTTCAGATTTACTGCATATGCTCGTGTTTATCAGTGGTATATAATTATTATTTGTTCATGAAAATTGTTTTTCTTTCATTTGATTATTTTCATGTTTATGTTGAGACCACTTTCCAGCCTTCTTTGTCATGCGATCTAATAATTTCCTGAAAATGATTAACCATTGGTTGTTATAACGACGAATATCACCAGTGACTCTGTGAAGGTCAATAATTTCACTTTTATCTTTACGCCATTATTGTTAGAACGTATCGTCAAGTGTCACTGCAAATAACCTTGGTGAGAGAGTATCTGCTTCCTGGACTCCTCATCTGATTTGTATTTTGTCTTCCCACACTGGCATAAGTAGTAGCAATTCCTTTGTTGTTTTGACAATAGTTTAATAGTTGTTATGAATATAATGATTTGTTAAAGAAGCCCCAATGCATGTTGTTGTAATATACGACTAATTAATATGTCAATTTATATCTATTGTGGATCAAGATTATTAATGACAACATCCGGAAAGGCAGAGATATCACAATACCAAGTTCAGTAGTAATTGGAGCACATACCTAGGTTGTACCAGACGTCCATCTCGCCACTCAGCGTCCGCACCTCGATGATTGTTTGACCGAGAAAGTCGTCCGACTCCCTCTTGAGGCGCTGTTTCACGCGAGACTTAATATCGTCGTCCTCATCCCACACACGCACCTTGATCCGATCAGATGAGTTGTGGCACTCACTGCAATGGGTGGTGGGAAATGTGGTAGACATAGAGGTAACATATCTATGCACTAACATGTCTCCTAAATATAAGGGAATGCATCAGCAGATACTTGTCATTAACACCAAATAATAGAACATGATATAAAATGATATATAGAGTGGAAATCCTCTTGTCTGTGACAATTATGGGGGACACTTTTTGCTTATTATTCATGAAATTAACTCCTCCAAACCCGCGACACCTGAAGATAAACGTGAATAATCGGATGAATTTGCCCCCATCTCCATGAAAACTGGTATATATTTTTTAAGTTGATCAATGACTTTTTTTATTTAACATAAGAACAGTTTTCATATAACAACAACCTCAAATTGATATCCTGCTCAAATGAGCATTGAGGCAGTGCTACGGCCCTCAGCCAGTGTTACAAATTCCACATTCCTATGGTGAGGGCACTTGCTCGGTTATATGTAGGTATCTACCAGTGCCAAAGTGAGATTTTAAAAAATTAACCCGTAAAAACAAAGTTTTTCACTATATATCCTTTATATGCGTGGCGGCTAGAGTCCTCTCGTCCTCTGGCTTGAGATGGCTGCCACCTATGGGTCAGATGATTGCTTGCCACCATTAACAAATTGGTAATTAAATATAATTTTTTTTCCCTAAAAAGTGTAAAAATTTGGGAACAAAAAATTTCACGAAAATTAATTGTCACACACAACGAGTCTGTGTGCAAAATATCAGCTCGATTGGATCACGGGAAGTGGGTTAAAAAACGACCGAAAGATTTGCATGGTCGTAAACGCGCAAGCAAGCAAGCAAGTGAACTTAGTATAAAGGATTTAAAAAGAAGACTTTGCGTCGTATAATGTGATAACAAAAATCTAATATTTTAAAATAAAGTCTAATTCATTATACTGTATCGTTGTTAGTGATAATTATTTTCATGTTTGTTCCTCTGGAATCATAATGTACCATGGAATATGAAGATTTTTAAAGTTGAAAAGGGTCATTACATCAAGAATAAGTTAGCTTTCAATGGGAACCAACAATACATGATAGACTTTGATTGCATAACATATTGAGGTACAGAGTATATATATGAAACCTGCAACTGAATTTTGTGATTATCAATATCAGAACCAAAACATTTAGAAAAAAAGCACTCTCTAAATAGTATATATGTTGAACTTCGTTCGCACCGTACGTAGCCAACCATGCTAATCGGTGATGCAGATATTGTGGTTATTAGGTGCACATGTTATCATATTTGCTGCAATGAACATTCACGTAGATTCAAACACAGCTAAACATCTTCTTAAAATAAATGATTTAATTTCAGAATCATAGCTTACAAGTGAAATTTCTCTTCCCAGACCGGGTTGAGATTATTGTAAATGGTCTTGGTTCTCTTCTTGGTCTTTCCCACTTGAACAGTGACATACGGGTCACTGGCCCCTGTCTTGTCCTTGGCTTGCAATCCTTGGGCACTGTGAACTGCGAATACAAAGAATACACGTTTTATCGTTACACAACGTGGTACACTTCTGAGTAAATGCCTTAGTTACCACGTTGAGCAATATTACAAAACTACCTAAATTATTTACATTTCAAGGTATCTCCTACGTGTGATCTTCTTACCAGAAAATATTATTTACCAGTGTCTCAATTGGGATCATTAATATTTCCCATTTTCATGCATTTCATATAAACATCACAAGGACAACAAAGTCATTGCAATGGATCCATGACAGTTGTGTTGGAGTTTTTTTTAACTTGTCCCCTAATCTGCAATATGTACTTGCTTGTGTTCAAGTGAAATCCCACCATGGTACATTAGACCCCCATATACAAAAAAATATGACATTATAATAATTTAGCAGTATATATTGCGTATTAGTTATAACCTGCACACAGGCAATCTGAAAGCAAGGAAGAAGTGGAAGGGCTCTAAAGGCCTTTCTTTGTCTCCCATGCGTGTGTCTACGAGGAAAATTAATTCAAATAAAATAGTAGAGCCTACAAATAAACTAAATTCTCACATGAGATGCCATGCTTCTTGATTATGTAACATTTTCTCAGGGTTAATTTAGTTGCGATAAATGTATCAAAGTGTTTATTCAGTTGTATTTTAGTCAACAATGACCGAGTAGATAAAAGTCATCGAACATGACGATGACTAAGATTACCGACTCACGCCAGAGTGACGACGTCGAGATGGAATTAACTCGTCTCAGTGAAATCACAGACTAAGATAACCGAATAAAATTATTGGAGATTTCAGCACAGGGGAAAACCAAAGATACGTATGTAAAAATATAAACTGAGTTCACCTGTTTGTCCGACCTGATAATAGTGGGGTGGAGGGGCGAGAGAATTGTGTGTCCCGCACATTTACATTTAATATCCTTAAAGCGGAATATATTCCACTCCTTTTATGAACGAGACTAAGAGAATGAGAAAAAGTAATAAAAACTCAAGACTTCACAAAAATTCCATAGACCATGGCTAAAATAAAACAACTCAGATGATATTAACACTGCATTAGTGTGATGATACCACGGATCTCTTTCATCTGCAGTCTGTAAGGGACTGTAGTGGCATTCACCTCAATGACAGTGAGGGAATGAGGTGAGTGAGCCCCCATGCACCTGTTAATAACTACTGCGTGAATTTGAATGAATAACAGCAGTATTATAGGTGTGAAAAAGTGATTTCATCTGTGCATACATTTAACAGAAGTTAGCGGTGATAAATCTAATGCAGGCACAATATAATTGCATGCGCACATGGCATCTGTGTTATAAATCTTTAGGACCATATTTTTTATTAAACAAAACATTTTCTTGACTTTTGTTTTGTGTTTTTTTTACATTTTCGGTTGACATGATGCCTATTGGCATACTTGAGAACCTCATTTAATCACGGGTGGCTGAAACATGTGTGCGTCTTTAGTGTTGTTAATTATCATCTGAATTTGACTGGATTCATGACTAGACTGAATTTCTTATTAGCTGTAGGAGACTGAAATTAGCTGTAGAAGAATTAATTTCCTATTAGGCTGGAGGAGTTATGAGCACATGCATTATTAATACAGAATGGGCAGCATATATGTCATATTACCAGTTGTAATAATTTTATATGAATTATACAGTGCTTTTAATAGGTATATACTGCACTACTCTGAGGTAGCCAAAAACTGTAACCATGTCCCTTATACAGTGAGGGAAAAAAGTATTTGATCCCCTGCTGATTTTGTAGGTTTGCCCACTGACAAAGAAATTATCAGTATATAATTCTAATGGTAGGTTTATTTGAACAGTGAGAGACAGAATAACAACAACAAATTCCAGAAAAACGCATGTCAAAATTTGTATAAATTGATTTGCATTTTAATGAGGGAAATAAGTATTTGAACCCTCTGCAAAACATGACTTAGAACTTGTTTGGCAAAACCCTTGTTGGCAATCACAGAGGTCAGACGTTTCTTGTAGTAGGCCACCAGGTTTGCACACATCTCAGGAGGGATTTTGTCCCACTCCTCTTTGTAGATCTTCTCCAAGTCATTAAGGTTTCGAGGCTGACGTTCGGCAACTCGAACCTTCATCTCCCTCCACAGATTTTCTATGGGATTAAGGTCTGGGGACTGGCTAGGCCACTCCAGGACCTTAATGTGCTTCTTCTTGAGCCACTCCTTTGTTGCCTTGGCCGTGTGTTTTGGGTCATTGTCATGCTGGAATACCCATCCACGACCCATTTCCAATGCCCTGGCTAAGGGAAGGAGGTTCTCACCCAAGATTTGACGGTACATGGCCCCATCCATCGTCCCTTTGATGCAGTGAAGTTGTCCTGTCCCCTTAGCAGAAAAACACTCCCAAAGCATAATATTTCCACCTCCATGTTTGACGGTGGGGATGGTGTTCTTGGGGTCATAGACAGCATTCCTCCTCCTCCAAACACGGCGAGTTGAGTTGATGCCAAAGAGCTCCATTTTGGTCTCATTTTACCACAACACTTTCACCCAGTTTTCCTCTGAATCATTCAGATGTTCATTGTCAAACTTCAGACAGGCATGTATATGTGTTTTCTTGAGCAGGGGGACCTTGCGGGTGCTGCAGGATTTCAGTCCTTCACGGCGTAGTGTGTTACCAACTGTTTTCTTGGTGACTATGGTCCCAGCTGCCTTGAGATCATTGACAAGATCCTCCCGTGTAGTTCTGGGCTGATTCCTCACCGTTCTCATGATCATTGCAACTCCACGAGGTGAGATCTTGCATGGAGCCCCAGGCCGAGGGAGATTGACAGTTCATTTGTGTTTCTTCCATTTGCGAATAATCGCACCAACTGTTGTCACCTTCTCACCAAGCGGCTTGGCGATGGTCTTGTAGCCCATTCCTGCCTTGTGTAGGTCTACAATATTGTCCCTGACATCCTTGGAGAGCTCTTTGGTCTTGGCCATGGTGGAGAGTTTGGAATCTGATGGATTTCTTCTGTGAACAGGTGTCTTTTATACAGGTAACAAGCTGAGATTAGGAGCACTCCCTTTAAGAGTGTGCTCCGAATCTCATCTCGTTATCGGTATAAAAGACACCTGGGAGCCAGAAATCTTTCTGATTGCGAAGGGGTCAAATACTTATTTCCCTCATTAAAATGCAAATCAATTTATAACATTTTTGACATGCGTTTTTCTGGATTTTGTTGTTGTTATTCTGTCTCTCACTGTTCAAATAAACCTACCATTAAAATTATAGACTGGTGATATCTTTGTCAGTAGGCAAACGTACAAAATCAGAAGGGGATAAAATACTTTTTTCCCTCACTGTATATAAACAAGAGGAAACTCAATGGTATGAAGAATTCTCCAACAATTTAAATGTTGTTAACTATAGCTATCAAAAATATAAAAGTACTTAGTTTGATACAGAATCTTCAACATTTAAAAAAGGCTAGATGTGAAATACTGTAGTTTATGAAAATGTTGAATATTGACTTTAAGCTTTCGTGACTGCAATAATTTATATTCTTTGGGTCTTTCGGTAAAGTCACGTTGAATATGCCTATCGGTTCATAAACATTATCAACCATGATCTTAAAATCTGTACCATTGCAGGATGCCCAAAAAATAGATCGTAATGGCTAAACCGGGCCCTTCCTGCTAAGATAAATAAAATATTTTTCTTTTTAAAATCTCCGCTGGTGGATGATGGCCTCCAAAATCCATAGCCACCCCTCATGGGCCTGCGATACACCAAATCACCTAGCACCTGCACAAAAGCCAAGCTCATTGCTCCATCTCCACAGTGAATGCATTCTTGGGCATGTTACCTCCATTGGCTGCCACTCCATTGCTATTCTCTCCTACTGACCAACATCCCTTCTCATGATGTGTCCTGCCCAAGCCAACCTACTTTTTAAATCCTTTATATTAAGTTCGCATGCTTGCTTGCGTGCTTGCTTGCTTACGACCGTGCAAATCTTTCGGTCGTTTTTTAACCCACTTCCCGTGATCCAATCGAGCTGACATTTTCCACACAGACTCGTTGTGCCAGACAATTAATGTTCGTGAAAAAAAATTCCCAAAATTTTACACTTTTTAGGCAAAAAAAAAATATTTTACATATATTCAAAAGAACTCATTCTTGGCTTTGGCTGAACGTCACAGTATAAGAGCCCAGAGCGTAACCCCTCCACAGGCCGTGGCGGAGTAGTGCAGTTGGTAGCGCCCTCGCTTCCCATGCCAAAGGTCGTGGGATCGATCCCCGCGTCCTCCACAGGCAAATATATATTTTAAATCCTTTATATTAAGTTCGCTGCCACGCATATAAAGGATTTATAGTGAAAAACTTTATTTTTACGGGTTATACTTATTTTCATCATCATCAAACATGGGTCAAATCCACTTCTGGATAAAGGCTTGCCCAAGCTGCTATCAACTCTCATGATCCTGAAATGTAATACGCTACCTAGCTCCAGCATGTGAGCGGATTTCATCAGTCCATTTCCATCCTCTCAAGCACATTCCATTCCTTGGCTGCCAATCCATTATTATATTTCTTGACCCATCGACCATCATCAGTTTCAATGATATTTCCTAGCCACGCTAACTTTTATTTACAGAAAAGTTTTTTTTACATCAGTATGTTCTATAATACATGTTTTCCTCTTGATGTCTCTCAATCTAATCGCAAAGATCAATTTCTCTAGCTTTTTTGCACTTTTTAGCTTTTGTTTTATATCTTCTTCATTCGTGTCAATGTTTCTGATCCATATGTCACAGCAGGTAATACATACACACTGATTACAAAAAAAATTGTCGACACATGACATATTGATTCGAAATATCAAGTCCAGTTTTCCAGTGGCTCCAAACCAACTATTATCTGCTCATTCTATTTTACGATTTGATCTCAGTCCACCTCAGTAACTGCCCCAGGTACTCACCATTGATTGTGATCTTGGCTGACCATTTGGAGGTGCCTTCCTAGCACCATTTGCTTGACAGACTTCATGTGTGAGTTCTGATCACTTGGGGTGACTGCAAACACATCTCGGATGAGATCAAATATTTCAGGCTTGTTGCGTTCTCGCACTTTCATTCGGTCTTTCATAGCTGTGATGATAGTCTGTGTCTTATCCTCTGCACCATGCTTGGAGCTCTTTTCAGCTGCACCTGAAAATGGGGAAAAAGTAGCATTATATATGAATACATGAGTCTGGAATATTAACACATACAGAAAAGCATCGTATCCCCCCTGACTTGGAATAGTTCTCAAATGAGATTTATTGAACATCTAGGTAAACATTTGCATCCTTATATGTGTGGCCAAAGCACAGATAAATTGTCAAGCTTCCAAGGAAGTATATATGTCTTTGTGATGTGAGCCATGTTTTTGTTGTTCTTGATAACTTGTATACAAACTCTCTCTTAACTTTTACACGAGGCTGCATCTATCCTGTTTGCCATGCCCAAAGCACACATATGGACAAGGAATAGCTATGTGTTACTAAAACCGCAGTATATAAATATACTGTAGGGACCATGACAGCCCTGGACCATGACACCACCACAGACCTAATGAAATATGGTCTACATCTCCCCATCCGGCCTTGGCTCCTGACCTTATACGCCACCTGAATGCACTCCTTCACCAACAAATACAGCAAGCTGCTGCTTAGATGCCAAATAAATTATGTTTCTCAATCCAAATCGCACAAAAATTTGATCTGACTTCACACTCAGCTTATTTCCACCATAAGTAAAATAAGAGTGCCTGAACTGACTTCCTCTTTGAATTGATTTAGAGCAGAGAGACATCCCTTATTGATTAACTTAACATTATAACATAACCTTTGGCACAAAGTAACGTTAACACAATGTGTTTCTTCAGAAGAGTAAAGGGAGTCTCATCATCAAGGCCTGCATTCCAATAACTTTCTAGGCCTATGTAATGGCCACTCGGAATATTGGCAGCAGCTTACATTAGCAGGTTGTAATTGGCTTGAAGGGGGGCATGAAATACAAATGCTAATTCCAGGGGGTCACCTCCAAACAAATAAGGGACCTCTCCTTCTTCAGTGCCCTAAAGAGCCTCACTACAATTACGATGGACTGAAGGAGACCCCTTGGATCTAATTATGAATGCATGATACTGCCGATACACTGACTGTAAGGAGACTATATAAACTCTACAATAAATTAAACCATCAATGAAACGTCAAACAAATTTGGATTTAGTCATATTTCTAACACACCAGCATACAAAGCCTTTCCAGAGAATTGTCAGATGTTGGATCTCCTGCATGTTAACATTGATTCCTGCTATTTCTTGGTACAATCCTGGGTATTTGAACATTGACCTATTTGTCAAATTTAGAGCGTGAAACCATTGGCGATAGACTCCCATCTGGCAGAAGAGATATTGGCCCCATCTATCCGGCCGAATAGAATCTGTTTGGGCATGTGGTGGCTGGGCATGCAAGCTACACGACCCGGCCAATGCAGCCTCGCTTGCCAGCAGAGCTCACTGATGGGACTGTGTTCAGATCTTTCAAGGATCTGTGAGCTCCTCACACAATCCAGTCTGATGAAACCCAGGATGGATCGTAGGCAGGCTAACCTGAAGGTTTCAAACTGCTGCAGATGTTCCTTTAGAGGGCCACACGTTTTGCAAACATAGAGAAGAGAGGGCATAACTATGGCCGAGAAGACTCGGATATTTGTATGGAGCGACAGGCCAAGTAGCTTGCACAATGGCAGTTGCTATTGCTCCTTTCTGGTGTACCTTCTCTATTTAACTTGGGGATCAGTATAACAATGTCAAACAAAACACGCAAACACCTTGGTCATGAGGAAGTCATCGTGTTTACAGTATAAATTAGATTTCAAACGAAACCAATCAAGACATGGCTCACTGATAATGGAAGAGATCTGGACAAAATAACTTTGAATGCAAAGTCTATTTTCTGCGGTCTATGCTTCCTTGGCTGATAAAATCTGCTGTGGAATGGTTAAGTCCAACCAGGTGTTAGGCCAGAAGAACAAAACGGTGACTCAGTGGTGGCCAATGACTCAAATGTTGGTGTGGTGGTGCTGGCGCCACGGAGTAATGCTAATGACCATCAATCATACAGAATTGTGCATCATCATAATCATCGTCATTACTACCCTCACCACCACCACCATCATCACTATCTTCACCACTACTATGATCGTCATCCATCACTAATACTCATTACCACTCCCATCATCGGTGCTATCCTGACCACCACCTATAAACTCACCACCACCACCACAAATACACTCATCACCATTAATATACTCACCACCACTAATATCACCACTAATTATTTCCTCGCTAGGTTCTAGAGATTAGGATGCCAATAGCCACAAAACAGCCCCCAGTCATTGGCTATGGGGCACTACATCCACTGCCCCCAAGGCTCCCTTTGCGTGAAGTGTGTGGGGGCATGGGAGTGGATTGAATGAGGCAATGAGATGCTGAACTACCCACGAAGGAACTGGTTCTAAATGAATAATCTTAAGAGAATAACTTAAATTAGCCACTTTAGTTACGCTTTATTTACAACTACAGCAGAACCTCTGGTCACGACCATAATTCGTTCCATAACTTTGGTCGCAACCCGATTTGGTCGTGACTCGAACCTAATTTGCCATCAACAACCTTAACATCGTTCAAGTGTGCAGACGACTGACAGAATCTTGGTGAGTACAGTACAATATGATACGTTCCGATACGTTCAATGCATGTATGATACGTAGCTTTAGCGATTTCATTTTAAGGTTACCACGATACGATACGTTTAATGCATGTTAAAAGTTTCTATAGCAGATAGGATTGTTTCCTGAAAAAACTTTTTTTATTAAATTGCAGTTCAGGTAGGCTAAGAATTTTCCTTGTTTTTTTCTACTTTACATTTTACTGTGCAATACAGTATTGCAATTAATAAATACATACAGTATATAGTTTATACAGTATGCTACTGTACATGTCTCTGTTTTGCTAAATTACCACCATTCTTTAAGACTCCTGGGTAGGCTGTACCATCTTCGACTTACGATATTTTCGACTTAGGATGATGGGGTCGTCATAACGCATCTCCATCGTAAGTAAAGTACCTGTACTTACTTATCTACCAGTTGTGTGTTACTTATTTATTGGATATTTACTTGTGTTACTTATTTTCTGTTTTAAGTTCACTCGTTTCCGGTTAGTTTGTTTTCTTTGTGCACGTTATGATTTTAACGTTAACAATTGATAGTGGAATGTATTACAAATGTAAACGTCGTATTAATATGATGGAATTAAGCTGCGGTAACGACGTTAAATATATGAATGCAGGCGGGGTATATGGAGGTGTGGGCTTTCTGAATTTTTTTTACACAAAACGCTATTTTTGCGGGGTATATGCATCTGTGGGCTATATGCGTGAGCATACGGTAGCCTGCTTACCTACGTGACTTTACCGAAAGAACCAAAGAGTACGAATTCCTGCAGTCACGAAAGCTTCAAATCAAGAATGTACACCACGTTGTATTAGACCAATAGATGCGGTTTCACGGGACTGTGTGGAGATTGTGGCGAAGCACTCACGCTGAAGGCAGTCGGCATTGAGCAGGTCTTGGCACTTCTCATGGCACTTGACGCCACACTCGGTGCAGCGCATGCCCTGGCGCGCTATCCCCCACAGCAGCCCCTCGCACTCGTAGCAGTAGGTGGGCGCGGTGGCGGTCCACACCTCGAAGCGGTGAGGGATGGTGCACGAGATTGGGTAGATGAGTGCCTGCAGTGTCTTCTTGTACACGTGCATTTTCTGGAATGAAAACGTTGAGGATGTGATTAAATGTCGTGATGTTGAACAAAATTGTTCAAAAGACCACCAACCGAGTTCAGTTGACAGGGCATAAAGGTGTACATTAAAATGTAATATAAAATTACAATCTAAAACATGGTACAGGATTGAGCAAATATAAGAGGTTCATGAAGAGAAACAACGAGATTGAGCTCGTCTTAAATCGAGTCACCATCAGATCTAATAAAACCAAACAAAACAGAACTATTTACCACACGATGCACACAACAGAAATGCCATGTAAACTAGATTAGTTAAAATAGATTAATTAAGAAAAGATTAGAACATCAAGTTTGAAGTGGAAAATAGTATCCCTCAGAGAGAACAAGACGGCAAGACAGAAGCATACAAATCAATGGAGAACCATCTATAGTGATAAACAAACTCAGGGGAAATTGCATTTTGTAGAATGAGCACAACATGCTTTGTTGCAAGATGTATACTTTATTTCCAGAAGCTGCAATTAAAATAAATGTGCACACAAAAACCAATTATTTACTAACACTGTCCTCTCCCATCATTGAAATGCAGTACAGTATAACAAAAGCACAATAAAGATTGTACATTGTCCTCATTCATATTTGGAGAATGTTTCAGCAACCTGAAGAACTGATTAACCAGATTTCCACCTGTATGCCAACATTTTAATGGTTGTCGAGCAGAAAAACAATACAGCTTTCAGAATTTATATCACTACATATAGTAAAAACATTAGTCTTACAGATATTTTCAGACACTTAACAGCATATATAATTGTTTAAATTACCAGTATTTATTGTACCTTTTTACTAGACACAGACAAAGATCCCCCATACAGCCTTGACAGACTGTAGGGGCAAGTGCTGTTAGCAAGCACCAATGAAGGCCGGCACACACATGAGGGGGTGGGGGGCCAACACCATGCCCAGCCGCCTTTGTCTCCATAGTGGCAATGTTTAGACAACACGCCAGGTACTTATTTGAAGCTGAGTCGACCTACGGGAGGCCCAGGACCAATAAGTGGTATTGGCCGTGAGCTGGAATCGAACTCAGGCCGCAGCGTGCTAGCCACTACACTACCACTCCCCACACCCACACAACAACAACCACTGTTCACCACTAATGGTGGTGATGTCACCACGGCGCCTGTGCCAGGCCAGGTGCACTCTAAGGTCATGCGAAGTGTCGAAGGCTCTCTGACGGGATGTCACAGGACCGACCCAGGTGCCATGGGTTGACTAAGTGAGATCACTGGCAGATGTACCAACTGTGCTCCCCACTCTGCCAAATTTCTGTATTTTAGCCACCCGGCGCTCTGCTCACTGTTGTGAGCATTGCTCCTCTGCCCTCCGTTGTTACTGGAGGGCGACTGCCTCCAACTCCCCAACAGCATCCTTCATGAACCTGCTCCACAGAGGCCGATCGTGACACTGCCGATACCAGGCAGCAGCAAGTCCAATAAGCTCCATATCCTTCTGTACCACGTCACTCCATCTCTTCTTGAGTCTGTGCCGTCCCTGTTTATCCCCATCTATCCGGCCGAATAGAATCTGTTTGGGCATGTGGTGGCTGGGCATGCAAGCTACACGACCCGGCCAACGCAGCCTCGCTTGCCAGCAGAGCTCACTGATGGGACTGTGTTCAGATCTTTCAAGGATCTGTGAGCTCCTCACACAATCCAGTCTGATGAAACCCAGGATGGATCGTAGGCAGGCTAACCTGAAGGTTTCAAACTGCTGCAGATGTTCCTTTAGAGGGCCACACGTTTTGCAAGTATAGAGAAGGGAGGGCATAACTATGGCCGAGAAGACTCGGATATTTGTATGGAGCGACAGGCCAAGTAGCTTGCACAAAGCGTTCCGCAGCTGCTAATAAGTATAACCCGTAAAAACAAAGTTTTTCACTATAAATCCTTTATATGCGTGGCGGCTAGAGTCCTCTAGTCCTCTGGCTTGAGATGGCTGCCACCTATGGGTCAGATGAATGTCTGCCAGTATTAAGCAATTGGTAATTAAATATTTAATTTGTTTTCCCTATACAGTGTAAAATTTTGGAAAAAAAATTTCACGAACATTAATTGTCTCGCACAACGAGTCTGTGTGCAAAATGTCAGCTCGATTGGATCACGGGAAGTGGGATAAAAAAACGACAGAAAGATTTGCACCGTCGTAAGCAAGCAAGCACGCAAGCAAGCAAGCGAACTTAATATAAAGGATTTAAAAATATAATGCCGCTGAAATGATTCAGAGCGAGACCTCGGCTGGCAACCCGGAGCTGGTCATAAGCACGCTGCCCAGGTACAGAATCTCTCTCCACCACTCTCTCCACAACTGCCCCATCACCCACACCACTAATGGGAAGTTGAGGGAAGGGAGTATTTGAAGACGTAAAATACCCAGGCAAGTGCTTTGTGGGTTGTGGGGCTGTTGGTAAGGCCTTATCTCTGAGTAATATGCTCCAGATTTAGCAGTAGTGTCTCCAACTTATTCTCAAAGTGGGCAGCAATCACCAGATCATAAGCATACATAATATGTTTGACCAATAAAGAGCCATCTCTTGATCGCACCCGGGCATCGATCCACCTCCCATTGTATCAATACCAGATGGAAATTAGACCGGTACATCCATGGAAAGACTCTTGAACTACGTGGTCAAAGAAGATGTTAAATCATTTAGGGGGCAGAGGACATCCCTGTCGCACCCCAAGCTGAACAGAAAATAGTTCCAATACCCGGCCAGGCAAGTATACTCATGCCTACCAACCAATGAAGTTCCTTAATGAGTGTGAACAGACAGTATGGTACTCTGAAAACACGAAGAATAACCCAGAGCCCTGGGCTATTGATGGACTTGACCAGGTCAATAAAACAGAGATGTAGTTCCTGTTGAAATTCTCTACACATCTGTTGTATCATACAGACAGAATAAATGGTGTCTATGCAGGACTGCCCGGTCTGATAACTGTATTGGGGCTCCACAAGCTTCTCATCAGCATGTCTGGCAAGGCGATGTTGAATAATATAATTCTTTTTAGGACCTTTCCCAGGACACTGAGGAGGGAGATACCCCGGTAGTTGTTGCAATCAGTGCAGTCCCTCTTTTAAAATTTGGCCATCCTTCCAATTATGCGGAACCAGTCCTGTGGACCACACAGTTGTGATGATGTTATATAGGGCAGTCTGAACACAAATGCCACCCTCCCTCTGCAGTTTGCTTGGGAGGTCATCTCTCGCTGGCGCATTACCTAGTTTCAAGCTCTGGATCGCCCTTCGTACTTCCTTAACAGAGGGTACATCAGCCAACCACTCACCAGGAGCGGCTACTTCCTCCAATATTTAAGGCTCAGCAGCAACAACAAAGTCAACCCCACCCTGCCTTACGATGTTGTTTGAGCTGAGGGGTTTTCCCTCCCTCAAGACATACATTCACATGCACACACACAGGGACCAGAGAGACATAGAGGGGAAAGTGCAAAGACACGCGGAGGCATGAGAAACAAAAAAAGATGAGCAGCAAGACACTAGAAAAAAGATGTGCAATAAGACGTGGCAAGGAGAGACACGGACAGTGAAGCCGACACCAAATTTTACTGTCAACTCCATTAATCCCAAAAGAGCAGAAACTTATCAAAACATTACAATGGAATCCCCTGAGACAGCGGATATTCAATGACAAATGCAGAAGGGAAACGGCCAACTTACAAGTTCCTCGTCGTTCAGCGAGGCTCGGGTGGCCATGGAGGAGAGAAGCCCTCCCTTCCTCTGCATAGCAGCCAATGACTGCAGGCGACAGGAGCAGAACAGCACCCGTTAGGGGAAATAACGCAAGAGGGCTGTGTGATCTAAATTACCTAGCCCACAGCCAACAACCTCTCACTACCAATCAGGGTTTTGTATTTCAACACTGAAGCAGATACCTCATTTTAATCGCTTGGTTGTAATTACCATGGCCACTGTTGTGTAGTGTCAATGGCCTGAATACTCTCTGGTTCTTTTGGTAAAGTCACATAGGTATAAAAGAAAAAAATAAATCACGACGTTTAGATTGCAACACAAGCAATCATCATCAGGTGGGAAAACCACAGCAAAACATTTTCTTGCTGTGGTCGTGATTTATTTTATATTTTATTTTATACCCACGTGACTTTACCGAAAGAATCAGAGAGTATGGATTCCTTTAGTCACGAAAGCTTCAAATCTAGAATGACCTGAATGTTTTACCTTTTCCATCGGATGTTATCCCACTTTGCCCTGGTGTTGTTATTGCCAAACATTTGTGTCTAGTGGAAATCATTATTCTAATCCATAAAATATATACATTTCAATTGGATTTACTTGAAGCTGTAACATAATAATCTGCAGTTTGATTATACAGGAATCAAACTCATGGCACTGGGTTCACAGGAAAGTGCACAAACCACTCACCACTGCTCCGCTCCGCTAAACCGTGCACTGTTGCAAAACACCTACTGTGCATTATGGTGCATAAAATTAGTATTTCAGAATGTTAAACAATAAGTGTGAATTATAATTAAAATCAGCAATTAATTCACAAAGATGTGTTCAAAATTCCATAAAAATGCAGTTGCAATGAGTTACTTACCATTGCCTATCACAGTTAAAGCATGGACAAACACAAATGTTTCACAGCTTTAGAACTCATACTAATTAAACATTGACAATACATAGAACATAGCTTAGTTGAACAATACAAAACAAGAACACTGTATGAAGTTACTTGGCAGTATAGGCCAAATTGTGTCAGTAAGTATAGCTAATTTCTTATTAGTCCTTTAAAGCATCAGAAGTGACCAGACTGATGGCTAACAAAGGATTAAATTATTATTTTTAACCATTGGCAAGGTTACATAATGTACAGTCTAAATAGAGGCCAGGTAACTAAGCAGGATAAGTAAGTGCAAATTTCTTCTCTGTTCACTTAGTAATATGTTGCTCCTGTGTATTCTCTGTGGACACATCTAAATAATATGTAGCCTTGCAATGTGGGTATGAAACATGTACATGTTAGCTCAATATAACACTGTGAAGTGTATATATATACAGTTTGTAATTCTTTGCATTTTAATGTTAACAAATATTCTCTAGAAATATCAAAGAACAATGTTTTTTTCTTCAACTTTTAATGGAAATGGAAATAAAATACATTTTCTCATGCATTCGGTAGGAGCTTGGGTATATAGTCTCTGCTGAAGCTCTAGCTGTTGCTATTTAAGCAGTGTTTCCCGATTGTTGCATCTCTAATTTCCTTTCGTAAGAAGCTAATATGTCAAGGCAACAGTGCTTAAAAACTGCTAGATACGTACCACATCGCTGACGAGTGGAATTGTTTTTCTTCGGCGCAGATTGGGCATGCTGTCAATGCCATAGAGCCCACTCCCAGACCTGAACAACACACACACATATATACAGACAATTATCATTCTTAAGTTATCATATTTATATTAAGCAGACACATTGTGTGAAGTGGCAAGATGTGAAGAGTGGGTGGTCCAATCCATATTCAATCGTAACATTGTAGAAAACCATGAACACAAAGGGGGTGATTATAATATACATTCAGAAATAGAATATTTATTCACCCTGGATTGCACTCATCATAAAACTATGCACAATGCAATATGAATACATTAAGATACAAAATACCTACATCCAGTAAGGAAAATACAGTATTATGTTATGAGAAGTCCATTGGTAAAATTCTAAAAGGTAGTAACCAAATACTGAAGGAACTGCAAATACGTATTATAATCACCCAGGAATATCTGTCCTTAACGCGTGTGACGTCACTCCACATCGACCAGCCCCCTTCATTAATATTCATGAGCAGGTGACGTCCTCCAAATGGACCCCCCCGCTCCTCATTAATAATCATGAGCAGGTGACGTCCTCCAAATGGGCACCCCCCCCCCATTATTACCCAACTATAATGAGCCAAGAATGTCTGTGTGCAACGCTCGTGACGTCACTCCACGTCGAACAGCCCCCCTCATTAATGATCATTATAAGGTGACGTCCTCCAAATGGACACCCCCCCCCAATTCATAATAATTAGCGGCTGACGTCACTCCACACGGGCGGGCGAGGCGCCTCCTCCCCCCTCCTCGGCGTCAACTTACAACCCTCACTACAAAGGCAGAACCCTCACGTCACGTGATCTCCGTAGCGCTGTTGAGACATCAAAGTAAAAAGGACGTCATGATGAACGAGGGATTATTACTGTAAAATTAATATAGGTCTGTGTCACCGCACCCTTACTAATTGCACACGCAGTGATGCAATGACTATCAAGTCGTGGTCTGCTTTTCGCTTGCAAGTTTCAGATTTACTGCAATACACCGGTCCTTGGACAGGCAAAAGGCTAGTAAATAATACAAGCTGCTGAGAGTAATGAACAATATGGTTAATCTTGTGGAATGTTGACTGAAGGTTCAGTGAATGATATCTTGATTTTGATTGGATTTAGGGTTTTTAGATAGTGCTTTAATGTACAAGTCTAGTGGCTAAGCATGCATTTGTGTTCACTGTTTTTAATGGTATTCATTAAGTGGACAATGCTTAAAATAAAATAATAATAAAATTACATGTACCATTTAAATGCAACCGCATGTCAAGATACTGTGCAAATCCATGGGACATAATTTATGATCAGTTGATGTGTAATATACCTCTACACTGGTGTGTGCCATACAAATAGGCAGCACCTCCATGTTATAACTTGGATGAGGGAAACTCTGCCATTAGTTCAAGGGGTGGGAGGTGGGAGCCAGATGGTGAGACTGAGGCAATGCCTCGGCTAACAAGCAGGGAAAGAGGAGCATATTATAAGTGGAGGCACTGTAGTAGAGAGGATAACACAATTGGAAGATCTTCTTGGTTCTTTCGGTAAATTTCGATTTAAAGCTTTCGTGACTGCAGGGATTCATCTTCTTGGTTCTTTCGGTAAAGTCACGTAGAAGGGAAGTAATTAAATAATAAAAATAAAACATAATAAAACAATTCTCACGACGTTTCGGCCACAACGCAAGCAGCCGTCCTCAGGTGAAAACCAGGTCGCCTCGACGGACCTGGTTTTCACCTGAGGACGGCTGCTTGCGTTGTGGCCGAAACGTCGTGAGAATTGTTTTATTATGTTTTATTTTTATTATTTTATTACTTCTCTTTCGGTAAAGTCACGTAGAAGGGAAGTAATAAAATAATAAAAATAATAAAACATAATTTTATTATGTTTTTAATAAAAATAATAAAACATAATTTGATTATGTGTTATTATTTTTATTATTTTATTACTTCCCTTCTACGTGACTTTACCGAAAGAACCAAGAAGATGAATCCCTGCAGTCACGAAAGCTTTAAATCGAAATTGGAAGATCGTTTAATTTATGTAACCCCTTGGCGTTTACAGCAATATTAAGTGGGAATGAGGAAATGTATTTACCTCCCGTGTTCTAAGTATTCTCCCCCGTGTTTAGTTATTTGAACGAAATTTCATATGATGCTGAATTTCATCATGAAAAGTTTTAAGTCACCGGTGAGCTCTCTTTGTCAGAATTTGATCAATAGATTGCACGTATAGTTATTAATAACTTTGTAACATGACAATCTTCTTCGGTGGTAGAGGGTTAGTGGAAATACTTTTGGTATAAAACTACCATGTGGCCTCACCCAAAAACAAACATGGGTCCGTGTATTGGCAAAAAAAACCTACTTTTTAAATTTACATCTATGCTGCTCAATTTACATTTAAGTTTCTTGTGGTTGTTTGCACCATTCATGCAAATATCCCTTCATTAAAAAAAATGTTATTTAAGCTTTTCAACTTGAACTAATAATACAAACATTACATATCCGTTATCATATTTGGTTGCATATTATTTTACAAACAGTGCTTGCACAAGCCCAATGTACAAATTAATAAGAAACACTGAAATGCAATTTAAATTTTCCAAATATTCTGGATAAATGTAATTCTTTTTGTAAATGATATACTTTATTGTTTGGCAAAGATTGATTGTTGCGTGTTCAATTGTACCTGAGCATATCCTGACTTAAAATCTTCTTACAAAATGATGTAGATGTATGTTTTGAAAAAAAAAAATGTATAATAATAAATAACTTTCGACAGGTAGCTCAAAAGTGTAAATTATAGCCAGACCTATGAGACCACATAGGGCACCTGTTTTTAGTATTTAAACTAAGTAGAACAAAATATATCTGGGAAACAGGGAAAGACATTTCAGGGGCCTGAACCATTGAAACTTAACAAGCCAGATGGGGAAAAGGAAATAAGTGAAGATTTGTTTTCACCCAGGGTACAATTTATCCTAAACACAAACCCTGCCAATAACCAAGCCAGGCATGAGGCATCTGCACTGAAGTAGGTTAGCACTTAGTGCATTTCACAGCCATTTTGTTCTGGGTCATTGGTTCAACAGAATCAGAAACTTGGTAATGTTATGGGACATTGCCAATGCTCTTTTAACGCTGTAGATACAAATGACCTTCGCAAATCTCTTGTAAAATTAAGACATTTGGGGCACTGTCATAGCCTACATTAATATGTAATATTCATATTATTTATATTCTAATATGGTTTACCATGTCTGTCTCACTAAAATATTCTCTGCTGGCATATTCATATATATAACATGAAAACTACTTGGCAATGTTTGCTTGGTGAAAATGTATTTTAATTATCAAACATTAACTCGTATCTATTACACTTTTAGTAGTGCTGTTGTTGCTGGCTGCTCAACCTTTGGGCCTGTGATCAGCAACTGTGATTAAAATAATATATATTTGTAAACACGTCTTGATAATAGGGTTTCCCCCTTTTTTCTGGCAACAAAACAGGTGTTAAGTTGTTAAAACACCAAACTGAAACCTTTTACAAGGAATCATGTCTGCATTAACCACGATACTTGTGGTCAGAATGCAAACAAAAACATACTCTGGTAATATATGCATTGGCTTTTACAATTGTCTTTGACAATGCATATATTATCAGACGTCTTCTTTAAATGAACATTGAGGTATTACCCATCTCCTGTTTCAGCACTAAGCCAGTGGTGGAAACTCTTCTTGTACAACGAATTGAAACGAGTTGAAATTACTGTTGGAAGAGGAGGAAAATGCAAACTCTCTTTGCCTCTCACTGGATTTGTGCTTCTAAAAGAAAGTGTTAATGCATGGACGTCAGCCATTGTGGCATTGCAGTCTTTCGCATTCATTCAGGAGTGGGTTAATTACGTAATACAATTTGGTCTACATCTTCGCAGCTTGTTGCTAAAACATATATTTTAATTACCTTTAATGTGCGGTTTTATAGCCTTAATGTTAACCAGAAGACTTGCATTCTTTGGTCTGTTCAGGAATTATATAATTTTAGGTCTCATCATTCCTGAAGATCAAATTCCCCAGATAACGTTAAAGCTATTCGAACTACTATAATGTTTATATGACAAATTAATATAGCAATACAATACAGGTTCTAAAATGCGTGGTAAATGTATATTTACGCAAAGGTACTGGAAATATACAGATGGTGGAGAAAGTGTTTTCCACAGGGTCGATAACAATCATTAACCGTGCCAACAGGTCCACAACTTCAACTGTAAGAGTTGCATAAATTGCGGGGACTGTCTTTGTTGTGACCATTGTGTGTTTTGTTGTTCGCAAACAATTCTCAAAGGTTAATCGTACTTATATGTGTTGTAATGGTTAACAGATACAGCAGTTTTTTTTATGATTATTCAAAGCATAGAAAATGAAGAAAATCAGGATACATTACTACCAAATTATATATTCAATATACATTTACATTAACTGAGAACTTTCGCCTAAATTTATTGATATTGTCTTTGCGACTATAGCCATGTTCAAAGTCACAACAAAGTGTCTTTTAATGGTAGAAACGTTGACAATAATGTTGCAAATAGCAGTTTATACAAAGAATGATCACTCAACGTATGTCAATCTCGTATACATTCTTGTGACCATTCCATCATCTCACCATTTGGGGCTACATTAATATTAAACAATTACATAACATGTTAAACAGACAGACATGAATTATCAATATATTGGCTGTTATCCAATGCAACACATCTTTTAATTCTAATCATAACCAAGTTTTACACCTCTCAAACAAAAACAGCATCCATTTCTCAAACACAGCTGTGAAATTTTCACTTAAAAAAACCCTACCGCTGAATAACACGAGTCAACTCAATGAATATTTAATGTTATTGACGTGTGCATAGATTACATCACAGGAGACTGGGTATCTTTTAAACAAATGGATTTCAACATCCTGGTAATTGGTATTTTAATCTTGTGAAATGGCCCTCACTGACCTCAAGCATGACTCAGGCCCTGCTTTGTGGCAGAGAAGCATTCTTTATTTGACACCTATGGACAAACAACTTAATCTAACTATTATTTTCTAATGGTCATTACATTACATGTACACCTTACATAGTAGTTTATTTATTATCAAACTGTATGCATATCTAGTCTCTATACTTTAATCCAGAAGATATTTCATTTAATTAGTTATTACATTTTGCAAACAAATTGAACTTGAATTACAAATAATTCCAAATATTAGTTTAGCTCCCACTGCCCACAGCTATTACATGGTCTATTTAGTGCTGAACAAAAACGTGCTGCTGTCTTCCTTGATGATAATATGTACTTGTGGTACTGTTTACACGTTATTAACATATGGAAACAAAGCTCTACCAATATGAATGTCCTTGTATCTTACCAAAAAGGCCTCCCTGAAAGTATTTGAAAACCCCTTTAAAAATAATCAGGCCTCATGCCTAGTTATAAAGTGTTGTTTGAATTATAACTACGCAATGGAGAATGAAATCGTCACAAATGTATATTTTAGGAAGTAATTATCGGAGACATTCATTTAAAGAATCCATCCACCTAAAGTTATCCACAGCGGTTGGGTTGAAGCTAGATTTAGTTATTCAGTGAACAAATCAATGTAAAAACTAGCACTACATTATTTATTTTCGCCACTTTTAAGCGTCTGTTATTGAGTTTTGCACCGTTGCAGATAAGCAACGCTGGCCAAACAATTTTTATCAGGGACGAATTTTCCCGACAAGTCTCTTTTTAGAGCCGTTTTGTACGTCGGGAGAGACTGGAGCCGCAGGATACCCTCAAGAGGTCTGTAAAGATTGGTCACGGCCAATTGATGTTGCTATGCTGCCACCTCTTAAGCACATCGTGTATATATGAATCAGACGATCCATCAGCTCTACCTCCTACCACTGGAATAAAGATGTCCGACACCCACAACGAGCTAGAAAAATAAATACATCACAAGATATTCGTGTTAATGTCTACGCACGATTCCCACGTGTGTATGAATACAGCTGCTTTAGATCATTTGCATAGGAAAGCATACTGCCAGGCCTCTACACATCTCTGCGAGATCATGCACACTAAGTTGTCACTGGAACACAAGCAGAATTAACAGACGAAAAAAAACCTCAACACGTTAGTCAATAACACTGCCTTAAACGAACAAGATAATAGATTACGTTTCTGCCAAAGGCGATGAAGTGCCATTGCCTGAAACGTGACGTATTATATATATTTTAAGGCAGTATTATTAACGAATGTGGTGGAGGCTTTTAGCTTTTGACAGCCAGGTTTTCCTCGATAAATAAATTATATTGTATAATTATCTTTGTCAGGATAAATCCCAGAAGATAAATGACCAGAATTCCCGAGCTGCTATACTCAATAGATACGGTTTGCCTTCATATAAAAAAAATTACTACCAGGACATCTGTTTGGCCTTGCAAAAAACAGGTCCTGCGGCCCAAATGATATACACTAACAAAAACACAAATGCATGCATTGTAGTATATGTGGAGAGTGTGTACACTCCCTGCACCGTGTATGCAGTGGTATCATTGCGTGTTGTGACAGAAACGCTGCACAATCCTCCCCCCCATTTCAAGATTCGCTTGCCTTCCGCGTGGAAACACCGGACCCTCGCTCCCTCACCATACAATGGGACTATTAAATAGGAGATTTCACAATTATTCCTGGAAGATTTTCGCGAATGCCATTTTATAAAATGTTTTTTTTTTTACTGTGGAAGCTTTCCGCCACAAAGCCTTTTCAAAAGCACACACACCAAGTCGATTTTTCTAATTGAAGAACTGAATAAAATGAAATGGCAAATAAATTAACATTTAAATGAGCCGACTCCGATCCAACATTGCTAAATGGCATCGTAATTTTGTCAGTCGGATACCGATTGGATAAAAAAAGAAATTGCTTAACCAAATCCGATTCCACACTAAACAATAGAAATCAATGAAGTGGGGAGCAGGAGGCGAGGGTGTACAGAGCGAAGCTAAGGAGGGAAGGGGTTGGGGGTGCAATCACTCAGTGGGGGGGCCAGGAGAGCAGATGAGGATGGGATGAGGTCCTGTGTGTGCACGCTTGTGTTTCTGGACGTTTACCATAGGCGTGTGTCCCCTTTATACGGGCATGTTATTGTCTTGTGTATTTGTGTGTATGCTTGAGTGTGTTTCATGTGTCTGTGCGTTCGTATACATGAGCATGTGGAAGTTCATCTTGTGTGTAGGTTGTTAGTAATCGCAGCTGTTCAAGTAACCTGGTGACCTTGGTTTGAATCCCAGCCAAAGGTAACTTCAGTGGCAAGTAGTTTCTGAATATTTCCTGGACTTCCAGAGGAGCATCTCAGTCCAAAATTAGTACCCAATGCAGCGTAAACATAAGTACTGGAGAGATATACAGCTGGTCATGGTGGAGGCAACACCACCCTCTTACACACAGCGTCAGCCTTACCCAATGCTCACAAACAACATATTACCAACAGCCCATAATGCTGACTTATGTCTTTGTATGTTTTATGTACCTCGGTGTGTTTGTATTTGAGTGTATTTATGTGTATGGCATGACATCGTGTGTTGTGGTAAGTGGTGGAGCGGTAGTTGTCACACTGCACTACGGAGTTTGATTCTCGGTCACAGCTAAAAGCAGTGGTGAGTGATATGTGAGTTGGCCCTGGGTCTCCCTGAGGTCATCTCAGCTTTAATGAGAAGCTAGTGAGGTGTGCACATTTTAGCACTGGGGAGACAATGATGTTTGGCATGGTGGTCACCACATCAGCCCCATGTGTACCATTTCAGCCTTAACAGAGGATCACTTGCAGCACGGATTCCAAGTCAATAAACCTATAAGAGTGCTCTTTGATCCTTGTGTGCCTCAGCATGTGTTCATTTTTGAATTATCCAAGTTTTTAAAAGAAATTTTTTCTAACTAAAGCACACGTAAAACAACTCATATTGGTTAGATTTTCAGTTATTGTACGTCATAATACGAATAAAAAAACAAAATTCTGGGGTCATCTCTAGAAAATAATTACGTACAATATTTAAGCAAAATGGAAATTTGTGAAAATATTTGAATATGTAAATCATACTGTGCATATATTAAGATGGCACAGAAATTGTAATAGCCTTGTGTTTAGGGGCCATCCATTTAGTAGGTACGCAAACATCTGTCAAATCTTTACCCCTCCCCCCCACCACCTGCGTACGTACGCCTGATGCACCCCCCCCCTCGAATCCTAGAGAACGGCCGATATTTAATCAACGCAGAAACGATGAAGGATTAATAATGTTGACGTGTTTAAGCAAACAGATAGTCCACCGCTGGCTGCATTAAATAATTAAGTTGCGTACACTGGCCTCTGATTTTGCTGAGCAGCGTGATAGCTACAGTCAGGGGCACGTGGCACACAAGTGACGCCTCTCCCACAGTCCCACTTCTCCCGGCAGTACTTGTTGTCTGACAGCTGAAGACACTGAACTGTGGCTCATTTGAAGGCCAATGTAGACAAACTATTATCGAGGCTTCACACCCCCCCCCCCGCCCCCCCCGTTTCCTATGCGTACGTACATTGTCAGTAGATCCCCCATGCAAGCGTACACATTTGGGTTAACCCCCCCTCCCTCCTCCATGCGTACGTACTAAATGGATGATGGCCCCTTATATGAAGGATTACACCTCAAAATGGAGCTGAATTCACAGATTTATTTTCTAAAACGTGGGAAAATGAAGCATGTTTCAAAAAGCTAAATCCTTACAATCTATAAAACGTAAAAATTGTAAGCGTATATATGCCATAAGATTTTAACAGCTGCACTGGATCCATTACCATAACGACCAGACCTTTTGAAGGCCCATAATGACAATTTCATTAAGGGGCAGGGGATATGATTTCGTCCCGTTGCTGTTCACACATTTATAGCTCGTATGTCGAACTCAAACAGTAAACAATATACAATGCGAAAATACACATTTTATTTAAGCTAAGTTTTGTTGGATTTACCAACTATTCTTTATTGCAATCTGGTCTATACAATATTAACATTCATGACTGTCAATTATTAAATCTGAGAAGTGTAATTTGCATTGGCAGAACAAGTATAATATTTTATAGGATGCTGTATATTGAGTATATATTACTGTTAATGTAAAACATTCATATAGATTTAAAAAGCATTTTCTGAAATTGTAAATTTCATGATTATACATCTAGTATATAGGAGAAATGGTAATTTCGAAGAATTTCTATACATAGCATGCATATGAATGTTTATCATTAAATAAATGATCGATGCATGTGTTCATGCTGCATGTGTGTGTGTGCCGGGAAATGGAGCCCTTCATGCCAGTATGCTATTCTCAAGGTAATAAGATGCAGGCCTCCTCTAGGTTGAATCAGCCTACAATTAATTCCAGATGCAATGCACAAAATAATAGCATCAAAGAGAGAGAGAGAGGGACAGAGGCAACCATCCAGACTGTGTGGCATGCCGAGAACACGTGTGAGGCCCCCTTGTTTAATACCAGACAACACAATGTCACCATGCATTAATGTCAACAAGATAATGCATTTATTTCACTTTAATAGGCGATTTCTTCTTGTTAAAGATCTTCAGAACGAATATAATGCAGAATGTATTGTAAGTCACGCAGCACAGCTACACATTACATTTGGGATTCCAGGCATTGCCAACACTTACCCCACTACCAAGCTGAACGGAGAGAAGCTTCGACTTTCATTTGCCTGAAGGGGACAACGAGCTTCGTTACTGACAAATATAAAATATATACATTGTTTTGAATGCACGTTCATACAGTAATTAAGTACTCGACAACAAAGAGTGTAAGTTACAATTTGAATGAAGCATGAATTAAACATGACAGTTCTGAAAAGACCAAAAACTCCTGCTTTCAACAGTTTTTTTCTTAACATTGCATACAGTATTGCACATATGGTATACCACACACAGTTGAAACACATACCTCAAAAACACATACCTCAAACACAAAACTCAGCTTTTAGTTGAGTTGAACATAAAACCACTGTGGAAATGGCACCATTGTGGAGAAGGGTTTGTGAAGAATGAACTATATTTTGTATCAGATAAATAATATACATTTACATATAATATATTTTATATAATAATACTTTCATCATTTGTGATGTATATTCATTGGCCATTTTAACAATCTGCAGCAATGTGTAAAATGTATATTAATCAAATTCACACCAACTTAAATGTGGTGATAAGTACATATACCATAAAAATATTTTTTTTTATTTCAAATGCACATTACTGGGTATTCCGATTTTTACAGAATAGATTTTCAAATGATTTAATTGAAAGATTTTTGGTAAAGAATACTTAGTATTGCAGCATACCCTGCACATGGTTCCAGTTTGCTCGAGGGAATTATTGCTCAGCCCTGCTAGTCTATCAAGAGCAACTATAGAATGAATTGGCACAGGACATCACCAGCAGACAGAATAATCACCTTCTAACACCTTTCTTTATCTTACAATTATGTGAATCGATGCAAATACAAAACCTTAGGAAATTAATTTAGAAACTTCCAACTACCAATTCAATGGACACATATACTTCTACATAGGTTTTTACAGCACTCCGTCGATCCATTACTCAATGAGGGTCTTCCCATGCTGTGCCAGTCATGGGAGAAATGTGACCATACTTCACCACACTGGTCAGTGCGGGCTGGTAAAGAGGATGGGGCCCAGGGCCAGTTCAGATATCACTTGTGACTAATGCGAGCCATGGCCTAGAATCAAACTCACTCCACTCTAAAGAAACCTCCCCAAAAGAAATACATTCATGTTGGGCCCTGCATCATTGAGGGACAATTGTTTCTAACTTAACATTGCTTAGGTCTATACCATTTGTGAGGTTTTTAAGGGTGCTGAATACACAGATGACATATTTTCAATTATTAAAATGTTTAGACACTTTTGGTCGTATGACACATCGTACATGACATTAATATTTGATCCATTACGCATTTTAGGTAAAAATGAGCTCCTGTACAGTGCATTGCTTCGTGAAACTGAAGATGTTCCAAGTATTTCTGACTGCTTAATCGGTTAGTGCAATCTGGACATGGAATGCCAGGGACGGGGGAAGATGGCAAATAGGAAGAATGAGCATGATATGGATACAGATTCTTCCTTTCGTCTCTGCTGACCTCTGTGTAAACAAGAAGAAGAAAAAACAAGTTAGAGAAAATCATGAAATAAGTAACCAATGTAGGTCATACATTTAAGGGCTTTAAAATAAACACTGGGAAATACACAGCACGATCATTGTATTCTTTACCTTGGTCTACAAGAACACAACTACATACATCTTTACAGAGGGTAAGTGAGATTTACCACCAGGCAATTTGATTGTATTAAATAATGGCAAATAACACGCACTGCCAAATCATGCCGGTCTTCTGCTGCCATGAAAATAAACTATGGTAAGATTACTATTTTCCTAGTCCATAATATCTAGATTCCCTAAGCCACCCGTGCACCTTCCTATTATTTTTAGCCTGCATTCTTCCCTAACCCAGAAGCATTGGCAAAGTCTTCCCATTGTCCAAGCCTCTGTGTGGATGAGCACAAAGAAGCAGTCTCCTGAAAGTGCCATATTGCTATTATTGGTGCTTTAGCTCATGCAATAGGTAGTCAATCAGAATTAGCAGCAACGTTACCCAATTACTAGTGGATAAATTTACATTGATGATAATCTACAGCTTCTAAACTGGTGAGAAACTACAGTCGTGTAAATCTGTAGCATTTAATGTTATGAATATAAATAATCTAGAATGTAATTTATCTATAAAATCTAGGTGTGAATCAAATAATCTACAGATGTGAATCTATGCAATTAACAAAGGTGAAAAAAATAACATTTGACGTTTATGATGATGATGAAAACTGATGATGCTGAGTGGTTGCGGAAATTTTTTCATTTCAGATATAGGAATTGAAAAACTGCTATATAAAAAAACATTTGTGAACATATCTAAAAATAAATGTGCCATGTATATTTAATTTTTATAGGAAAGTGCGCAGCTTATAAAACATTTAAAATTATATTTTAAACCTACCACTACAACATTTATAGGTATCTTAAAAACAAACCATATAATTCTGAGTGCATGCTGAAGAATGAGTTTAATAGGATCACGCCAATGACTATTTTAATGGAGAAGGCAGAGGGGTTTAGAAACAATGAGTAATGTATGTCTGAAACTGTATTTCAGTCATAAATAATTATATATAATTAAATGCACTGTGTAAAAATGTGAAAACCTCTATATATTTCATATGGTTGCTCTGACATCATCACTGATGAAGACAATGGAATATTGCATATCTGACCGTCATATAGTCGCCTCTACCAATTACAGTAACTGCCCTCTGATGTTAGAGCGTGGCATATCAATGCTCCCAAACGAGAGCAGGAATCTCACTGCTCATCCAGCCAGAGGCACAACCACAGTGATGGGGGACATCGCTCCCCACGCAGCTCTACGAGAGGCGGGCACTGTGCACATGCACCCATGGCTGGGGGCAGGCGTGCAGCACGTGCCTCCATTGGCATGTGGCCATGTTTCAAGAGCACCCCATGGCAGTGTTCAGGAGAGTGTGTCCATGTGTCTGTTTATATAAGGACATTGATGGTGTTAAGAATGATAGTTATGGTGGTATTGAAAATATTAGTGATGGTGGGGGTTGTAATTTAATTGTTCATCCTTTTCACCTGTCAAGGTTCCTCACAGCATCCATCAAGGTCCTGATTCCATTGGTGACAAGCCTCAGGATGTAGAAGGATCATGTATACTATTATCTGGATGATTTGCTGATCAGAGCTGCATCTAAGGAGGACCAGGAGAGGGCTGTCTCTCTGGTCATGAGCCTAAAGGACTAAGGCTTGTGGTTTATCTTCAAAAGTTTCAGCTGATCCTGCCTCAAGTGTTTAAATATTGGGGAGCTTTGTTCATACATATTCGTTCATGTGAGAACTTCATTAATAGGCAGTGTCAGGTGGAGGAGGCTGGACGACACATGTTGCTCACATGATCCGACCCAAAAATCTATTATTAAACTTTTATACCTTCCTACGTTTGGGAAGCATTATAAATCCAATTACATGCTGGTGAAAGACACTGATTTGGAAGTGAATTTGTGGGCGAGCTAGTATTGTGTTTATTATTCTCACCTCTTTTATTTAGCTCTGGCATGGGTTCAAGAGTGAGGGACTTGATAATGATCCCTGCAAGCTAAACAAGGCGTTAGTAGTGGCATTAAGCCCTGGCTTCCTTAAACAGTCATTGGCACATCCAGTTCCCACCCACCTCCTCCTAACTGATTGGGTTTGGAGGAAAGGTTTGGTAGGATATTGCTAATTCTTTATGGTTAATACTACAGGTACGCCGATCTGCATTTGGTGAGCCTCGACTATGGGATGGTGCGGGTCGTGCTCGTTGTTGGCTTGTTCAGTTTCTGCCATGAGAGTCGTGACCTCCAAGAAGCGCGAGTTTGGTTTGTACTGTCTGGTGGCCGACACAGCTTGGAATAAGAGTGAAAAAAGCCTGTTTATTGTGAGGAGAAAATCCTCTGTTAAAATATAACTCAGGCATCACAGTTACATGGCCTTGCCAGTTCGATGTGCCTTCATATCTTTCCGCTGATTAGAACATTCCAAAATATCTTCCAAGAATTGGAAGATATATTGAAGATATATTGCTGTGAAATTTCAGTCCGTTTTTAGAACATATACTGAAATGCAGAATGGTTTTAGTTGTGCAAATACCCAGATTATATAAGAATAACTCATATGTACCTCGAACACACTGTAATTACTAAATTACTAGCTGTGTATTTCCCAGATATTTTTTCATTTATAAAAATGAGAAATGGCTTACTTGTCTGTGCGTTGTCCAGCAGCCCCTTCTCTTCCAGCAGCCTCGCTTGAGTCCTTTGCACAATTGACTTAAACGTAGGCCGTTTTGGTTTGTTTTTTGCTTCTAAAGCCTTTTTGAAATTGGCCAAATACCTCGTGGTGGAATTCTGTTCGTCTACCGCAGTCTGTTCACTTTTGGACGCAACAGTTTTGTTTTCCTCACCTATGGCATCATTGTGCTGCTCTATGTCTGCTACATCTTGATGGCTGTCAATCACCGTTACTGCATCAGGTGGGTCAATACATGAAAGCCCTTCTTTATTCGAGCTTGATTGCTCTCCTTTGTTGTCGGGTGATGGCAACTTGTTTTTGGAAATAATTTCCCCTAAGCTCAACTTACAATCTTCAAATTCTGTATTTCCTATGACAGGCTCTTGCGTGGCATCTGGTGAAGCACTCTGTACTGCTTCTCGTCTTTCCAATTTTGCTAAGACTTCCTCCATAACTTCCACATAGTTACTTTCTCCTGTTTTCAAAATATTATCTTCACATGCCCCAATTTCTGAATCTGTTCTCTGGAAATGCAGGTCACTATCATCTTTTGAGCAGGTGATGGTGGCAGAAAGCTTCTCCAGACTGATAGAACTCGTATCAATGCTGGAAATGTAGCTCTGAGAGCTATTCGTACTTTCTAATTTAAATACTGACCCGAGTGCGGACTTTGCATGCTGCAGCGTGCTGCTACTAAACCGCCGAAAGCTGAAGCTTCCAACTGTTTCTGGCCTTTCGTCAGTTTGCTGTCTCTGCTGTAAGACAATCATCTCCTCGTTGTGCCTTTTATCCAAGAGCTCACTCTGGCTATGGAAAGCAAGTTGACTCTTATGTTGTGAGGACAACTCTACTTCCGTTGAGTTCTCCTGAAGTGAGAATCTGCTCATTCCAAGCAAGTGCATGCCTCTCTTCAAAGAGCTCACGAAAAATCTCTCTTCTTTAGCTTCAGCGATAGATGTAGGAGAGGGAACACTTGTCTGACTACAATCCTCCTGCTGGCCTTCCCAACTTAACTCCTGGTCAGTGATGCTGTCGTTGTCAAGAATTGGATAATCTGATGTTGATGTACTGTATAGAAAATCTGTACTTGCTTCTACTTGTTGAAGCTCAACTCCAGAGTCACAGCTTTGCTTCACTTGTGGCCACTCATCATAAGTATTCAATTGTTCCATATCTTGCATGCTGTAAGAATCTGCATACGTTTCTTGAACGATACATTCGTTTTGTTCATGCAGCTGTCCCTGCTCAGGTGTCATTTCATTGTAACAATCATCTTCAAAAACGTCTGCCTGTTGATGTCCACTATCAGGGTTCTGATGCTGCTCTAAACAAATGTCATGTTCTTGTTGCGATTCTCCTTGATTACACTCAGTCTCATCACTGTAAACGTGAACCTGTTCCCAGTCACCACTATTTCTGTAAATTTCATTTGAATGCCAGTCAATATCAGCAGGTTGAGATGGTTCTAACTGTTTGAGTTCAGGCCAACTACTACGATTCTTGTCATGTTCCACTTCAATTACGTTTGCACAACCATCATCAATTGAGCTTGGATATATGTCAATAGTTTTTTCTGTTTCTACAGGAATGTTATCAGAAACAAACGAATGGTTTTCAATTGAATCCTCATCAGTATTGTAAGCACATTGCTCCTGGTTGTCCCAATGCAAACTGAGGCTGTCATTACCATCTGGATCCTCGTGTACCGTAGTAATTGTCTGCACATTCTCCCATTCTATTTCGTTTGTATCGTTTTTATTCCATTCCTCTTTTACATCAAACTGTGATGTTTCAATACCATAACTATCCACAATATCTTCCTTTACAAAAACAAATGTTTTTGTATCTTCACACACACTGAGATCATCATTATTCATGGAAGTGCCCATGTATGCTATATGTGGAATCTGGAAGTGGCTTTTTGGCCAAAACTCATTTTCATCGATGGATGTTCCACTATCTGATGACAACTTTGATTTTAAAACGGGTGTATCTTCTGACAGATAATCACAATCGGATACTTCACTGTGTTCAAAGTTTTGCTGTTCAGGCAATGGATTATATAGTTCCTCATTTTCAGACACAAGTTTGGAAAGGTTCAGGTTCATTTCAGGGTGTCTGTTATGAGGCGAATCGGAATGGTGGCGCTCTATATTATAATGATCACGTTTTGCAGAGGACATCATTTTTTCAAACACTGCATCTGACTGAGCAGAACTTTGACTCATTACGCTTCTCCTGGTGAAGTCATCATCACTTGAGTCCATCGATAAGGTCTGAGCATCCTGCAGAGAGTAGATTTGTTTCGATGACGTATATACTCGAGGTAAAGATAATACACTTGGCTGTTTTTGTACAGCGTTTGCAGTCCTGATTTTAATACTCATGCCTTTTAATCTGTAGCACTTTTTAAGAATTAATTCCTTCTCCTGAATATTAGCAACTTTAATCGCTATAGGTCTTGGTTTGACTGAAAGACTGTTTCTCTTTTCTCCCAACCGAAAAGCACTTTCAACTCTCACAGTCTGTGTGGCATCTGTCATACCCATTTTCGCAGAAAAAATATCATAGATAACATTGGTGCAATTTTCATTCTCTTGTTCTGGAACATTGATGAAATACAAACAGAGGCCATTTCCAGATTGTTGTTTATGGTCAAAATAAACATTTGTCGGTACATTACTGTGTTTGACTTGAACAAACCCAGATTGCAATTGTTCAATTTCTGTTTGTACAACTTCCACACTTTGAGATATTTCTCTGACTGAACGCTTCAGCGCATGAACCTGGTCCCTCAGTTCTACAATTTCAAGCTCAATTCGACTTATACCTTGAAGTTCTTGAAATATCTTTTCCATGACATTGTGAGTCTTATTCAGAATATCCTCCGACTCCTGAGATGAACTCATGACGCGATCTTGTTGTGACATGGACTTTTGCAAACGTTGGTGTTTGTATCCATCCGTATTGTGAGAAGTGTTGTCATGACCTGTTTTTTTCCACACTTTAAACTTCTGGAATGCCTTGCAGCCTGCAGACCATGAAGCATATTTGACTTGTGAAGATAGCTTGAAAGGATGCTTTGGAAGTTTTCTATGATCAGGCATACCAGGGAGTGTTTGACTTTTTACATCTTGGTGATTCTTGTGAGTAAACGTGACAGAAGTCCTTGTTTCACATGCCTCTCTACTACATTTTGGTAACTGTTCCAAGCAGCCATCAGATTCACTTCCATCAGATTCAATTTCTGTTGACAGGTGGCCTGACTCCTCATGGAGTGACATTCTTCCTAAACCTTTGACTGTGCTAGGCCAAGGATTTTGAGACAATTCTGCATCACGTGTCCTCCTTGTCTCGACATCATCACCAGCCCAACTTGCACGACTCTTAGTCATTTTCTTCATCGTGTTCTTGAGTCTGGATGAAAGTTTTGGAGTTTTTGTTTGTGTAGAGTTTAATTGCCCAATTTTTGAGTCCTCATTGCAATCAGGTGTCCTGTGTTTGTCTCTTTTTTTATCCTCACCAGAAAACATTTTTAATACAAGTTTTGGAAGGTATGTCTGTATAAGATGTTGACTTGTATAAAACACCATGGGTGCCTTATACGTTACATAAACTTCAAGTAGCTGTTTAAAAATAACAAAGACAACTATTTGGGGGTTTAGCACGTTCAATCTGTTGATCTTTCCTGCATCAAGGAGTTAAATAAAAATTTGACATGGTGCCATTTTTCACAGCAGAACATCTCTGAAAAACAAAAGTGCACAGGGCTGTACATGAGTGGAAGTAAAACAGCAAGAGCACAATCAAGACAGGAGGTTCAAGTACAAAACTCTTTTATCTTGAGTCATCAGTCAAATCCTTATAATAAAAGCCCAACATGAATACACTTATATTTTGTAGAATATAGTACAATATTTTTTACAAACAAAATAACTGTATTGACGTCCAAATCAATGTATACAAATACCAAAATAGCGTAACTTTCATAGCATGAGTTAGAAAATGAATAAATCCCACTGCATTGAATATTACAATTTCTGAGAATATATGAAGATGTTTCCATATGCTGTTTAAACTGTAATACTATTTACTAAATGATAAATGAATGATAAATGAATGTCATGTTATAACTGACTGTAGAATTACTCAATGTTACACTGAATTAAATTATACAATTATGTATCACATTATGTTGCATTGAGATTGCTTGAATGTATTTCCAAGTTTCAAGTTTGTGTAAAACATTTATTGTAGTAGAAAATGTATCTTTTTAAAAGTGTGTGATAACATATAGCATTCAGCTCGCAAAGAATACAGAGGCCCCATATAGCTCTAGACACATGGCATATCATTGTTTCACTTGATTATCAGCCTTGATCAATTCACTGCTGACGAATAACGTCCCCAAGCCACCAGCATCTCTCACGATCCTGAAATGCAAGTCCAACCAAGACATGCGCATCCTGAAATCATCACTTCACCTCCTTGGTAAACGTCCTCTCCAGACGTGTTCCATCACTTGGCTCCTTTTCAGCAACGCATCCTGCCCAAGCCCACTTACTTTTCTTTACATTTTGAATTGTCGTTAAAGTGTGTATGTTCTCTGATGCAAGTATTTATCTTTTTCTCTCAGTGTAATCCCAAAGCATGTACCCATCTATACTTATTTGCATAATTTTCAGTTTTTGCAACCTAAAGTGTAAATTACAATGTTTCTTGTCCATGTCATAGCAGGTAGTACACAATGATTAATCACTTGGAATGTTACTTTCATATAAAGTTTAACTTTCCAAAATAATTCCAGCCTAGGACTTCTGTTGCTAACTTAACTAAACCTGTCTTAAAGCCTTCCCAAAGTCTCTAGTTTCTGGCTCTGAATCTCCTCGTGTCAGATTTGCAATAACTGCAGTCCTGCCTCCAATGCTTACCTAAAATTGTTGTTGCACCTCATGAATCTCTAGTTGTGCTGCGTCAAAGCTAGTAACAGTGTCATTTTGATTGTTTACTGTAAAATTTCAGTCGCCTGCAACAACTGGGTTGTTTTATTTTTCGATGCAGGGATTCATCTTCTTGGTTCTTTCGGTAAAGTCACGTAGAAGGGAAGTAATACAATAATAAAAATAAAACATAATAAAATAATTCTCACGACGTTTCGGCCACAACGCAAGTAGACAGACCTGGTTTCACCTGAGGACGGCTACTTGCGTTGTGGCCGAAACGTCATGAGAATTATTTTATTATGTTCTATTTTTATTATTTTATTACTTCCCTTCTACGTGACTTTACCGAAAGAACCAAGAAGATGAACTGGGTTGTTGTCCGAACCAATATTTTCAGTCCTGTAATCTCAGGTCTTAAGAATACATGTCCTATGTTATTCCCTCAATGTAATGTAATCAATAAGAGAATTCATCTCAGTCTTACAATGGGGCAATCTCCATGTTAGCTTATATAACTTGTTATGTTAAAACTGTGCTACAGATAATTAATGTCTGTTCAAAACGTCGTGAAAATTGTATTTTATGTTTTATTTTTATTATTTCCCTTCTACGTGACTTTACCGAAAGAACCAAGAAGATCTGTTAAACAAGTAGGCTTTCGCGACCAGTTTTATTCATAATAAAGGTTTTTGGGTTAGATCGTGTTATTATGTGTTGCAACCCTCCACCACCCGACACGGCCAATCAGTAAAAAGTGTCACATTAACAAAACGCCAATTAGTTACTTCTTCAGCCCACCTGTTTGTTTGAAAAGTGAATCCACCACATATAGAATTTGAGAACGACGTTTCGCTGGTAATTACATCGTGCAGGATGACGTCATCATTGATGAACCCCATCACGTTTTGAGATCAGAGGCGGAGGTGGGGGGGGCATTGCAATTATGTAATAGATCAGTAATCAGCCACTTAGCATGTGGCTCTTCTGTAAGGAATTGCAATATGTAATGTGTATTACTTTATAATACGCTTCCAGGCTGAAATTGTTTGTATTCTTCTCAATTTTGATTCTCTAATTAGTCTTGACCAGTAATAATTAGTTTTGCATAACACTTCAACGTTATCAAAATCAATTGAATGTCCTTGTTGGCAAGCATGCTCTGCCACTGCTGACAGCTGTGTTTGAGATAATTTAATGTTCCTTTAGTGCTCTTTTAGTCTTATGCTAATGTTACGTCCCGTCTGTCCAACATAGCATTTACTGCATAAGCAATTGATCCGACATACACGTTCTGTTGATAAGTTCGGTAATTCATCTTTAGCACAAGACACTAGTTTTAGAATTTTGTGTACCGTACCAAATCTTTCATGTTTTGCTTTTGCAGAACACGGGCTAATTTGTCAATAACTCCCGAGATATATGGTATTTAAGTTGTTTTCATAAACTGATCACTTTCAGCAGTTTTGTTGTTCGGTCTTGGTTTAGCATTCAATGCTCTGTTAATTTGAGCATGAATGTAGCCATTCAGTCGTAGTGCTTCTTGAACATGTTTAATCTCTCTCCTTAGACTTTCAGCATCTGACACTGTTTTTGCCCGATGTATGAGCGTCTTTCTGATATAGGATTTCTGTGCTGGGTGATGATGTGAATCTGCATTCAGATAGGCATCAGTGTACGTTCCTTTCATTAGACGCTGTGTGTTATTTTACCATTTTGACCGCGTCCAAGCAAAATATCCAGGAAGGGGATTGTATTGTTTACCTCCATTTCCATGGTGAACTGGATGGCCGGGTTTTGTGCATTGAGATGATTTAATCATTCATTAAGTGTATCTTTACCATGTGGCCAGACAACCAAAGTGTCATCGACATATCTAAACCAAAAAGATGGTTTTCATGTACTTGAGGTAAGTGCTCTTATACTCTTAGGTTTTTTCGGTAAAGTCACGTAGGTAAAAAGCTTCAAATCTAGAAGTAAGTGCTCTTGTTTCAAAGTGTTCCATGTACAGATTTGCTATAGCAGGAGACAGAGGAGAGCCCATTGCTGCTCCTGCCTTTTCTTTAAAGAAGTCTCCTCTCCATGAAAAACAAGTGTTATTTAGACAATGGTCGGCTAGTTTTGGAATTCTGCTGTCCTATTTCATGCTGCCCAAGTACATGATCTCACTCACCATACTTGGTTTGTACCTGGGCATTTAAGTTCTCTCGTCGTGAGAGATCATAATAACTGGGTACCATATCTAAAGCTGACTGTCGTCTACTGTAGAATTGATCCTTAATATCTCCAAGTTGCTGTCCCCGTGAGTGCATACGATTTGCCTACCAACACGTCGCAATGTCTAAACCATAGCCTTACTAATTACAATCTATTTGTCAACTGACACAAAGTTGGTCAAGCACTTCACCATTTTGCTAATAGCAATCCTTACTCCTGCCTGATGCTTCCCAGCCTTCTTTCAACGATACCACAGACTGTAATCCTCAATCCAGGCATGAACCGATTCAAACTCCTCTCTCTACTGTAAGAAAGGAGTTTATCCAGACACTGGGTCAGACAGTTCGGCCCACCTCCCACAAACAAAGTGGCATCTTTCTCTTTCTGTTAAAAAAGCTGGATATTAAAGACACAGTAAATGCAGCTCTATCAGAAAAAAGATCGAAACTTTTCTCTGTCAGTATACTGAGGCATATTCCACACAGATTATTTTTGTTGGTTACAGATGCAACAAACCACATGCGGGTTAACATAGCATTCAATTGGGTCCAAGCAACCACTGCCTAAGTGGCACAACAATGCTTTTCACATTTTCAGATGTATGCCAGAAACAGCACCAGCCTCAGGCATTCTGTTAATGGAATCACATCCTTGAAAATGGCTCTACACAGTTACTCTTCTCGATATAACCAGTGACTTCTACAGTCCATCACAATACATTTGTTCGGGCTGCTTCAATCACTCCTTTATTACTATGATAAATAAAAAATACCTGGGATTAATTTCATGTCCATGGTATATTTTCCGGAGGTGGTCAGTTCCCTCACCAGAAAATTATCGCGACAATCATTACTTGCAACTCATGAACATGGTGGAGTGCCATCCTGATCTGGAGTATAAGTGGGGCACAAGTCTGCTCTAGTTTGTTGACCAGTCACAGGTTAAGCAAAGGGTGAGAAAAATCCACTCTATCATATCATGATTCAATCCTCATGCATGGCAAGAGCCGATCAATCAGGCTCCTATATATCTCACAATTACGTGTGCGTGTCAACACACACAGAAGTCATGCAGTGCGGTGGTCAGTGCACTCCGTTTAGAACCTGCTGACCTAAGTTTGATTCCTGGCCATTGCTAAGAACCTTCTCGTATTCACGTGCATTGTGGCTCTTGAAATACTGAGTTCTTTTTACCGAATTCGAAAAAAAATTAACCCGTAAAAACAAAGTTTTTCACTGTAAATCCTTTATATGCGTGGCGGCTAGAGTCCTCTCGTCCTCTGGCTTGAGATGGCTGCCACCTATGGGTCAGATGATTGTTTGCCAGCATTAAGCAATTGGTAATTAAATATTTAAAAAAAAATTTCCTAAACAGTGTAAAATTTTTGGAAAATTTTTTTCACGAAAATAAATTGTCACGCACAACGAGTCTGTGTGCAAAATGTCAGCTCGATTGGATCACGGGAAGTGTGTTAAAAAACGACCGAAAGATTTGCACGGTCGTAAGCAAGCAAGCAAGCACGCAAGCACGCAAGCAAGCAAGTGAACTTAATATACAGGATTTAAAAAGGGCTCTGCTTGTTATTTTGGT